AACCCTGACTGTGGAGGAGAACCTCACACACACACTACAGAACATCACTGCCGTCTCTTTAATGTGCGACTGACTCTCTGAAACTTGTCCGACGTGTTCTATGAGTAAATGTATCCAGAGTACTTGCAGTACTTCTTTGTATGTGTAATAATACTTTGTCCCTGAAGGAACCCTGGTCTCCACCTCGATCCCCGTGCAGCTCGCCGCCTCGCTCCCCGCTGACGTACCGAGGCTACCCCTACGCCAAGCAGAGGAACGGGGCCGACTCACTGACCGGTACGACAACCGCACGCCCAGCAGACACACATTCACACGGCTGATCTTCTAATATTCATATTTCAGTTTTCAGGCCTAAACTCGCCTCCACATCTGTTTTCATCAGCAGAGTGAACAAACTGTAACTCGGCATGTTTTCAGCTCGTCCCTCTGAATCTCACGGAGCACACGTCCTGCTGTGGTCATGAGTCATGAATGAACTGAGATGTGGAGGACACCTGTTCCGTCCTCCTGGAGCTCTGATGTCTCTCCGCTCGCTGCTTTTTTATCTGAACGTCTTTCATTCTATCTGATTTATGTTTATAGATTTGTATAATCAGCGTGTTGAGTCTCGGTCTTCTTCTCTCTCGTCCCTCCAGCCTACGAGAGCAAGCCGTCCTCTCGGCCGACGGTTCACCCGGACCAGCGCTCCTCGCCCGGTACCTACGGGACCAGAGCCGCCGTGGAGCGTCCCGCGAGGGTAAACGCCAGACTCCCACAGCGCCACCGTCACAATACAATAAGTTGTTGATTATGATTCATGCCCCCCCTCCCTTAGACTTCCTCGTCAGAGAGGCTGGACCAGCAGGGCCTCGTGGACCCTGAAGACGACCCCTGGAGGATCACAGAGGAACAGCTGGAGTATTACACCAATCAGTTCAAGAGCCTGCAGCCCGACCTGGGGGCTCTCATCCTGGGTATGGACCCCCCCCCCCCCGCTGCACATATTTATAATTATAAATCACATTCAAACTATTTCACCTCTTTGTGTCTCTGTTCTAGGAACCATTGCAAAGAACTTCTTCACTAAATCTAAACTCCCGATTCCAGAACTCTCCCACATCTGGTGAGTGCTGAGTCACGCTAACGTCTGCGTCGCAGTGGGACTTTCTTTTCCTTTTATTATGTTTCAATATGCAAATGAGGTCTAATGGTAACTTTTGGTGAATTTAGGAGAAATCTGGAGATGCAAATAGAGAAAGTAGTGAAATAAACACGTTGTAGAGACTCATTCATAGGACATGGTTCTGCGTCTCACACAGCAGCTGCTGCTCTGCTGCTGCCTCCGTCTGTTGCTGAGTTTGTGTCGTTGAGACTTTATTTCTGTAGCTTCAGAATCATTTCAAGTTATTTCTTATAAGCTTTCTTATTTTGCAGAAATGATGTAGAATATACCAACTGTGTTTAATTGTTCTTTTCCAATTAAAATTAATGAATAAATTGGCGATGAATTGTATTTTTATCTATGAATTAAAAATGAATATTTGCTTTGTTTTAAATTGAGATTTTCTACGGAAATTCATATTTTTGCTGAAATGAACCAGATTAAACAGATTAGTGTGTGTGTGTGTATGTACGTATATACGTACGTATGTACGTACAGATATGTGTACGTATATACGTACGTATGTACGTACAGATATATACGTACGTATGTACGTACAGATATGTATGTGTGTGTGTACGTACGTACGTACGTACAGATATGTATATGTGTGTGTACGTACAGATATGTATATATAAATAAATAAATAAATAAATGATGGACCCGCAAAAGTAATGCGTTAAACTATTTTCTTTCATTATTCATCATCTTCGTCGACCTAAATTGAATAATCAGCGCTATTCTCTGGTTTTCTACATCTCTTTAAGGGAGCTGAGCGACGTGGACAGAGACGGAGCGCTCACGTTCTCTGAGTTCTGCACGGCCTTCCACCTGATCGTGGCCCGTAAGAACGGGTATCCTCTCCCAGAGAGCCTCCCCCCGACGCTGAGGACGGGCTCCATGCAGCCGGAGGACGAGGACACGCCGGACACCCCTGAGGTGAGAGACGCCGCCGGAGCGTCTCTGCTCTGGAACAGTTTGCCGGTCGTTCCTTCTTCACACTCAAGCTCTTTGTTGCTTTTCTGTTTGTATCTGCAGAGTGCAGAGCCTCTTATTGTCTTTGAGGACGCTGAGCCGAGGCCGAGTCTCACGGTGAACTACGTCCTCTCATTCCACTTGTTAACAGAAATAAGTGAACGTGGAGTTCCTGCTGGCCGCCTGTAGGGGGCAGCAACAAGCTGGACACGAGGGCTCTACTTCCTGAAGTGTCACGCAGACTTTACGTTGTTCTCACGATGAAACATTTTGTCTTTTAGAATCGGAGCGTCATCGAGCGTCTGACCTCAACAAAAGCAGAAGTGAAGGAGGAATGCTGTCAACGAGGTGAACGTTTATTTAAGCCCAACGACGGCCGGTCGACTTCAAACAATAAACTAGAATATGAGCAGATGTCTAATAAAGTGCTCTTTATGAAGATTACACATCCTAGTTTAAAAGCTTGATGTGGAACACATGAAGGAGATTATCTCTGTTTGAACTTCACTTCACACACATAACGTGTGTGTGTGTGTGTGTGTGTGTGTGTGTGTGTGTGTAGTGCTCTGTTTTAAGAGTTTAAACGTATTTAATTCATTTAGATTTAAGAGCAGCAGATACAGAATCCTGTATTTAATATGTGGGAACGACTGTAATGTAGAATGTTAAACTGTTCAGCAGTTATTTTAATAGAAAATTAATTTATTTATTATTAACATTTACTATTGTTTGACTTTTGACTCTTTATGATTTTCAGTTTTTTTCGCCTCTGAGTTCAATAAATGAATCTCTAAATACTGAATTATATTCTAGATCAGATGAGGGAGCTCCTCTTCATTATGAAACTATGAATCTGAACACGTGTTCTCATGGTTCTGCTGCTGACGTTTGTTTCTGTTCTGCAGATGTTGGCGTGAAGACGGAGACGACGTCTCAAGAGAAACGTGTTCTACGTCTCGCTGCTTTCACTGAGAGGACAGGTAGTCCTCAAAGTCCTTTAAAGTTCAAACTGTTAGAGTGAAGACTGAGTTACTTCATGGAGACGCATTGTTTATCCTCCGTGCTTAAAGCATCGTCTTTATAAGAACTTTATTGATCGGAGGAATTCATCTGTTACAGCAGCTCCATTATCAAAGAGAAGAATAATAATAAATACGAGGTCGGAAAAAAACACCAGAAACCAGACGAACATATAAATATAATAACATATAAACACTATATTCACCTTTCACTTCTTCATTTATCACGTTGAATCATTGCATGCGGTGTGCAGCATTGTACTGAATGAATAAATAATATATATGAATAAATATAATCGCTCAGGATCAATAAATGACGCATAAAAGGCCGTTGGGTTGTGAGTGTTGGTGACTTCATCAGTGATTACTTTACTCACATCTGGTGAAATCAATAACGCGGTTAGTTTAACGTTGTTGTGTTACTGTCGGCTTATTGTTATGAACTAGAACTGACTAAAATAGGCTGTGAACACGTACTGTAGCTGAATAACAACCATATCCTCTGAGGAGAAATGAATTTCAGTATTTATCTTTAATATATAAACAGCATGAACTGCTGTTCACTGGTGACGTTGACGTTCCAGCAGATGGCGCTGCGACGCTTCACATTCACTCTGTTTCTGTAGAATCAGTAACATGAAGATGATTTATGTATTTGATCAGATGCTGTTTAACCAGCGAGCTGTTCAGCTCAGATCTGATGTTCCTCTGAAACACCATGATTCCTACAAACTACAAAAACAAACTACAACTAAAGATGTACACAACTAAACCTCTGAGAACTCAAATCATTAAAGTCCAAATAAAATAGAGAAGGCTAGAAATTCAAGAGACACTTAAAAACAGACACTTAACACTTTAATAATAACAGACTGATTTTATGTCACGCACCTTGTTTGTGCAAACGTACTTATATTCTGATTGTGAAAATAAATGTAACTTTCTTCTGTAAGATGTGTCACAATGTTTTCATGTATTTAGGGAAAACAAAGTGCAACAGAAGCATTTAAATACTGTCTGTGATGTCTGTGATGTGATGTCTGTGATGTGATGTGATGTCTGTGATGTGATGTCTGTGATGTGATGTCTGTGATGTGA